CAATGATCTATTCATGGACTAATAATTTGTTAAATCACTAGTGTTTATAGAGCTTTTCTTCACTCACGCCCCCAAATATTTTAAATTTACCTATATTGTGGCTTAAATTGGGTGTGGAGCTAAAACAATGAGTTAAGTTTTCTTGAATAATACTACTATTGTCATAAGCTGCCTTTGCTGACTTGCAGCAAACAATCCATTTTCAAGTGTAAACAAATAGCTACCATCTTCCACCTGCCATTTTCTTTGAGAATTTTCCCAAATGCTGTGTTACTAAGCATGCTATATGCCCACATGGTCCTCAAATTTTTTAAAGAGAGGGCCAGTTCACTGTCCCTCAGACCCGTTGGAGGGCCAGACTATAGTTTAAAAAAAAAACTATGAACAAATTCCTATGCACACTGCATATATCTTATTTTGAAGTAAAAAAAAACAAAACGGGGCAAAAACACCCAGTGGGCTGGATAAATGTCCTCAGTGGGCTGCATGTGGCCCATAGGCCATAATTTGAGGATGCCTGCTATATGGATTGAAATAGTGGCTCATTTACACAAGCAATGCACACTGAGAGTTAAATAAAAATCTTATTTGACAAGTTGATAGAATATATTTGATTTGTAGGAAATTACAAAATCATTTTAACAACTAGATCATCAAATTGTAATTCTAAGGATAAAGGGGCTATATAAGAATAATGCAAATACGAGCTGAGAGTACCAACAATGTTATGCTCACCACTTAAAGCATTTGTGGACTTTAGAATTAGCTTCATTATGTAAAAATGGTCTCATTAACTGAACTATGTATTCACTTCTGTTTTTACTGACAACAAGTCTGAGTGCAACAAGAGGTGGGGTTGATATGTAGCAATGACTTAGAAAATGACCCGGCTCCCACATTCCAATGATAAATGTGATTGATTTCTAGTTGCCATGGACTGCACAGTAATTTTTTTAATCACTTGTAAAAGCGGCCTTGCAATGAAAGCCAAATAAGGCATTTTATAAAGTTCATTCCAAACGAGAATGCTGTTCAGCAATTTGGGGACTGGTAAGTTTCTGTGGGTCAGTTCTATGTGTCAGACTATCAGTGAGGAAAGTCTTACTGCATTGTGATAAGTAAGGAAATATTTGCCTTCAACTTTAAAGAATTAAAGCACTCCCCAAATTAAAAAAGCAATAACAACTATAAATGCAAAGCTAAAGTGAACCTAAAACAATTTGTCCAGGTTTAGGCTTCAGGACAATTAGCACGACATATCTCTGGAAGACCATGGGTTGACTCCTATGTAGCAAAAATATATCTGGAAGTCATGCATTTGCCTTTTGCAATGCTTACTCTGCAATGTAGAAATTTCTTCATCATTCCCTTTCTGGAGACTAAGTTAACAAGTCTGTAATATTGATGATAAAACTAATGAGTCTCCACCTTCTTGGCTGCAGATTATTCTTCTCATTTTAGGAGATCATTTAATATCACAATTATGTTTCCCCCTTGCCCTTCATATCTCAGATGTAGAGATTCCTTCCCCAACTAATTTTAAAACCATGATTTAGCAACTACTGAACAGCTAAAACAAGATTAACTTTTTTCCCCTTTATTCATTCAGCTGCATGTTCCCAGCCAAGATGATAATTTGAAGCCTGATTAATAGTTTTAATTCAAATAGAAGACAGTTCGTCTCCTGCAATTTTAACTCACGTATATGACCATTTTACCTAACTTTTGAATTCAACCCTGAGAACATATTCCATGACTCTATACAGCAATGTGGGATGTAATCAAACTACATATAACCAGTTGTAAACCATGATTCTTAATTCCTTACCAAGAAAGTGAGCGGTAATGTATTTAATACCAAAAAATTCCCCAAATTTTGGAAACATCCCATGTGATGGCAACAACGGAATTCAGATGGTGGAAACGGTGACATTATTCCTCTGCCTAGATGATCGTGCCAAAGTGCGGGAAGGCGCAGTCTTCCTACTGGCTCAAACCTATTTCTAAATCTGTACAGAAAAAAAAAAACCCAGGGATACTGATATATTGTTCTTGATGATCGGATCCTCTTCTATCTAAACCACAGATTGAACATTCTCAAACTATGGCCAAAGGGTTTTCTAGATATATATTCTCTACTGCTGTCAAATGTAAAGTCACTTGCTTTGTGTCAACCCATTATTGACTTGTCAGATTTTAGCATATGATATCTGTCCGATAAGAACAGTTTTGAGACATTTATATATTTATACTGAAAATCTTAAAAGCTTTATATTAATGATAAAATATATGCACACTCACTGTAGAATGTTTAAAATTTACTGCAAGAAAAAGAAAAAAATCAGAAAATATCAAGCTACCCAACTATATCGTTGTACAACATTTGAGTCATATATGGTACAGGATGGCAAACCAAGGAGGGTCCACATAAAGTATCCAAAACAATATTATTTTGTTTCCCACTGCCCTTTCAAAAATTATATAGGGGATCAAGCTCTTCCCCAACCACTTTGACGAAAACTTTATTTTCCTATTAATCATCTGATTAATGAATTCTATAGGGCATGAATTCTATAGGGAATGGATTCTATAGGGAATTCAAATCACCAGTGATAGTTTAGCAATATTTTCATCAGATCTGAAGTTAAGCTAGTCATATTTTCTTCAAAACGTTAACCAAAATTTAAAATGTCATCTTCTTGTCTCTTTATTGGTTCTCTTCTGTTACATTATTTTCTATTAAAATACCTTTGTTCCTCTAGGGCTGGAGAGCACTGGGGTATTAGAACTTCAGTGGGTAGACTTTTTCTAACTTCACTCGGTGCAAAAATTGTTTCATGCCTTTTGGAGCTCACAGCTATTTCAAGCTGATTTTGGCTCTTATGGGCACCAGGTGAATTTTTGGTACTCCATTCTGCAGCAGCCCCTAGGCAAAGGCAACTCAAAGTTGATTGGTCAATAACTAACACATCATCATGCCAAGTAACAAGTCAAAAAGAGGTGCAAAGTGGATCACAATGGCTGTCTTTCCTTAGGAAACACAGACATAGTTTGGAGGGTCCCAGGTGTGAGGATGCAGATGAATCACAACATAGACACTCCTTTAATACTTAATTAATCATCAGCTGATAGAAATCATCTCTTCCTTTACATTTCTCAAGTGGAGTCCAAAGCTAGCCTACCGTAACCCACTCCACAAACTGTCGGGGGCATAGATTAAGTGCTGTGGGCAGTCCCAAGGTAGACTTGGTCACCAACTTTACATAGGAACTTATTATATGTGGCTCTAAAAATCCTCTTCATGAGATATTCTCTCCACTACATACTAATTTATTATACCCTGTGCAGTGAGGGATTTAAACAAAGCTTAATCTGTTTTCAATTATTTGCTATCAAATATTGATGCTTGATAGCACAATTTGAAGTATTGGTTCTCTCTAATCATTATAAAAATTCTAATTTCACAACATTGATATTATTATTATATATCAATTATATAATATAGATGTATATCCACATACATGAAGGGTCTCTGATCCCAAATGTTATTTTTATTTAACTCACTGTGTATTTTCCATCCAGACACTTGCTCTTCATCTGCCTGAGTTACCTCATTTGTAAACTGAAGATAACAATAGTAAGTATCTGAACAAATGGCTGTTTTAAAGAGCAAATGAGGTACAGTAAAATCAGAGAAAGCTGGAACCTATGTAAGGCCAAAATGTCTCAGGAAAAAAACATCAAATATTTGATACTAAAACAGGCCATCCAAGCGGGATGCACCCTGTCAAAGGCAGAGCATGTTCACACCCAGTCCCAGGAGCTCCTCCTCTCGCAGCTTTCCCTCTCATGGATTTTAAAAAGGCTCGGACAAATGTCTAGTCCCTATGAAAAATGTGATGTGTCGGGGTATAATAATTTAACCATTAATAAAGAATAGTATAATTATAATAAGTATAATAGTATAATCTTTATGTCATTTAACCATAACTATGTCTTTAAGTTTTCTTCTATACATGATAATCATTGTAAGTTATTCAGCAGCACAGATGTAGTATACTTTTCTATACTGTCATTTCAAATATTTTACAATTCCATTAGTCATTATTGTGTTTATCCTGTCTGGTTTTGTTTTGTTTTTCCCTATAGAATACTATCTTAGAATCTTGGAAGATAATGAAAAGCTGGCACAGGATATTTTTCTACCTCTGTACAGACTATGTCAACACATTTTGAAAAGGTTTTTGGAAATGGGAATATGTAAAAAGTGTGTGGGAGTTTGATGGGGAAACATCCAATATATCTTCAGAAACAGCAAGTCCAAGTGATATACTCATGCTGACCATTCTCTTTTGTAGAAAAAGAAAATGGAATAAGAATGAGCAGTAGTAGCTGTCTATTACAGTACCTCGTTATCAGGCACTTAGAGTGAGATGCTTTAATTATGTAAATGCATCTAGTAGATGAGTGTTAATAAACTTCAATTTAAATAAAATAAATCAAAATTCTACTTCTCCTTAGCACATTATATTTTAATTAAATTCCTAAGCACAGTCAGTAACTGTGAAGTTATACAGTTGACAAAATCAATCACCACAGAGTGTAAATGAGCTAGATCCAATTCTAACATAAAGCACATGGTAATTAGCCAGTTTTGATAATAGCTTAGAAGATCTGCATATGTCATGAGGGCAGGACACTGTGATTCTCATTTCTAGCATTTCAGAACAGATCATTATGAAGATTAGGCCAAAGCCCCCAAACTCACCATACCCTGGATTATGAAGAAACCATACCTCTCTCCTGTCCTAAAGAACACGGTAGTCAATTTGTATCGAGTTAAGAATTTAATTTAAATCCTAATGCAATAGGTCACATTTTGTGACACCTCAGGGAATCTCGTCATCCCTCTCCTTCCTCTTTCACACTGCACACTCACAAAGGCGTGCAATTCCAACACAGTACTTATTCCACCACAGAATCACAGCTATTTCACCAACCTTGTAGAGCAGGGGCAGTTTTCCCAGTTTCAGGAGTGCGATCTGATTTGTTGCATTTTTCATTTTTCTAATCATGCTTAAGTCATCTGCAGTTCCGTAGCTCACATCGATGACTTCAGCCTGCAAAGACAGAATAACATGACTTTAAAGGGGCAGTCTGACAATGTGTCTGTCATTTCTTGCACTGCAGTGGCTCGTGAATTGCCATGATGCTGGAAGCTCTGTCATTGGTATTCCAGATGCCAGCAGGGTCCACCACCCTGAACGGATTTCAGCAGTGCTTCCCGACTAAGGACAGGCTGCAAAGAAGAAGTCAACTATCCACCTATCCACTTTGGAGGAATTAGACACTGAAAACCTTATGCATAGCATCGAAACATTGTCAGAGATTAAAGGCCTAATGAATGGAAGAAGATGATTATCAGAGATAGTGCCAAAAGATGATCCTTCAATTCAGAAGTCATACAAAATATGCTGGAGGAAGAGCGGACTTCTTAAAGTAGAGGCCATCTTTTTTTTTTTTAATCATTTTTCTGGGGACTCGTACAACTCTTATCACAATCCATACATCCATCCATAGTATCAAGCACATTTGTACAAATGTTGCCATCATCATTCTCAAAACATTTGCTTTCTACTTGAGGCCTTGGGATCAGCTCCTTGTTTTTTCCCTTCCCTTCCCCCTCCCACCTCACCCATGAACCCCTTCATAATTTATAAATTATTATTATTTTGTCATATCTTACACCATCCAACATCTCCCTTTACCCACTTCTCTGCTGTCCATCCCCCAGGGAGGAGGTCATATCTAGATCCTTGTCATCTGTTCCCCCTTTCTCCCTCACCTTGTTTCCACCCTCCAGTTAACGCCACTCTCACCACTGGTCCTGAGGGTTCAATCTGTCTGGATTCCCTGTGCTTCCAGTTCCTATCTGTACCAGTGTACATACTCCAGTCCAGCCGGATTTGTAAGGTATGACATGAACAGAGTAAAGCCTGTGGAGTTAAGCTTTGGGGACCTCTATTTGGTGCTGGAGCAAGACTCAAACTGAGAAGAAACAGCAGCAAAAATCCACTAATAATTGGAATTTGAGAAGTATGAAGTATGAATCTAGGAATATCAGATGTCGTCAAACATGAAATTGAATACATAAATATCAATATCTTAGGCATTAGCGGTTGAAATAGACTGGTCTTGGTATTGCCAAGTTTCAAATGCAAATGTCCTGAGCACTCAAGGCACTGGGTGGTGCATATCTTTTCTAAAACTTCTTTGCAAGCAATGCCTCCTACCCATTTAACAGATCCAACTTAGTGACTGAAGGCAGTGGCCTTATAAATTCTCTCTAATCATACTGCCCAATAATCATTTCTATTACACATTATATTAATAACAGTAGGTAGAAAAGTTCAATATAATCCTAGTACAGCCAGATCCTAAATACAATTCTCAAAGCAGTACAACTGTATACGTCCTTTTCTAAACTACCTCATTCACATGCAATATGGCTCTAGGCCTTTGGCAAGCTCAAGCCAGGTCCAGGCCTTTGGTCAACCATTTTCACAAAATAGCATGGCTTTTGCCTCAGAAAAGTTAAAGAGGTGTCTTTGCCCCCCAAGTTGCAATTTGACATCCAGTATACTCATTTGCTGCATTGCAGATAGATCTAACCAGAGACAGTGTCTGAGAATCAAAAGTTTAATTCCCCATGCCCTTTCCAGAAACCAGCTGAGTAAACTCTGTAGCCACAGCTGACCTCTGGTGATCCAAAGAAGAAAATTCCAATTCCATTCACCTACCATAAGGCAGAAACCAGCCAAGCCTCTGCTCTCAGTCTTGATGAGTTCTTTCTCTAACACTCTACTACCCAGGTACAATAATGGGTTAGGCTGGTTTGACTAGAGATACAAATTTAGTGACACTCCCTTACCGAATGGTCACTGGGAGAAGACGAGCCAATCAGCATGCGGTGTAGCAACAATGAAACATACACCTTTCCTCTAGCTCTTAAATGCTTCCTCCACCCCCAATATCATGATCCCAATTCGATCTTACAAATCTGGCTAGGCCAGAGGAGGTACACTGGTTCAGATAAGAATCAGAAACAGGGACTCCAGGACAGATGATTCCTTTAGGACCAGTGGTGACACTGGCGATACTGGAGGGTGGAGGGAGGGTGGGGTGGAAAGGGGGAACCAATTACAAAAATTTACATATAACCTCCTCCCTGGGGGACAGACAACAGAAAAGTGAGTGAAGGGAGACTTCGGACAGTGTAAAACATGGCAAAATAATAATAATCTATAAATTATCAAGGGTTCATGCGGGAGTGGGGAGTGGAGAGGGAGGAGGGAAAGTGAGGAAATGATACCAAGGGCTCAAGTAGAAATCAAATGTTTTGAGAATGATGAGGGCAACAAATGTACAAATGTGCTTGACTCAATGGATGGATGCATGGATTGCGATGAGTTGTATGAGCCCCCAATAAAATGATTAAAAAGAAAATAACTTTATATCAAGAAGTAATTATAGCACTATCAAGCTGTGACCTGACTGATAGGTTGGATTCCACCCCTGCACCTTCATACATCTTCACACTGACATAAAATCATCTACCACAGGGGTCATTAAATCATCTATCACAGGTGTCAACGAAGTCCTCATGGAGAAAGCGCACCAGGGTATGTGATTGAAGGATTGTATATAATAACATCCAATACCGAAATAAATCATACCAGAGTTAATTATGAACACCCCATTTGCAGAAGGCTATAGAAGACTGTGGAAGGCCAAAATCCATTTGCAGGACCCCTGCATAGATTAAGTCTCCAGTGAATTCCCTCTGACCATAGTTAAGAGATAGTCTTGTCTTCAGAGAGCTTTATACAGTCAATTGTGGCAAATGTATTTAGGCTAAAATGTAATGCCTTATCTGTTGATCTTGTAGGGGTGATGTCCAATGTGTCAATCTTAGAAGGCATGGCCTTCTCATACATAAGGAGGGCCCTGACCCTCTCCCCCCACTTCTCTCTGCCTTCACCTTCCTGCTGGGTGATCCCAGTTGCTGCCAGAGACCTGAGATGTTACCACCATCATGGAATCCACCCAAATTTGCACTCACTGGCCCTTGATCTTCCTGCATTCTGCATCATTGTATGTGTCTGTGCAAGTCTGAAGAGGGACTTACGGACTAGTATTGGACTTATGGATGTCAGTTGAACTGGGCTGGGATGTTTTCTTGATATATAATTTATTCTTGATATAAAGTTCTTTTTCACACCTATATGAGCTACATTGGATTTGTTTTTTTTTTTTAGTAAACCAGCCTAACATAGATAGTAACTCAATTAATAAATACCTAACGAGTATCAGAAGAAAATGTTCTGTGACTGATTGTGGTAATGATTAAACAACTTTCCTGAATGTAATTGCATGAGCAAATTGTATGATATGTGAATTATATGCCAATACAACTTTTCTCAAATGGTAAATAATTCTATTTCTACGCATTCCAATCACCACAAAAATGACACTTCAATTTTTAAGAGATATGACCCTTATGGCCATGTTGGGAAAAGGTCAAGCATCATCTGTGCTTTCTTTCTCCATTCTATATAAATTGCCAGCTGCAGTTTCTCTAACAGAGCCCATTGTTTGATAGACCCCATATCTCTGTTTCTGAAATTTGAATCTTTTTTTTAATGACATTAGAAGATCAAATTCTTTAAACTTGGAAAATAATCATCTGTTTTTCAGGTTTGAGAAAAATATTTGTTAGACAAATTAACATCTGAAGTCAATCAACTAGCACCATCATTGTACATCATGTATGTATGAGGGTGAGCATTTATCGAGCTGTGATGGAACCCTGGGGTGGTGCAACACACCCTGTACAATCACACATGTAGTCTGGTAGTCAAGAACTTTGAATCTGCCTCGAAACTACCATTTCTGACTGCCCTTCTTTGCAATCTACCTCAACATTGTTCTTTCTTTTAATCTTTCTTTTAAGCTAACACTTGAGTCAATTCTGAGTCATAAGAACTATACGAACCAAACCTAACTGTCAAACATTGCCAGGAAGCCCTTTCCAATTGAGGGTGACTCTACAGAGTGTTTTCAGGAGTGTAAATCTTTACCAGAGCTGAGAGTTTCATCTTGCTTCCATCAGGCAGCTGATGGGTCTGAACGGCAGACCTCGTGATCAGCATTCTACTGCTTCCCTGATTGTGACCCTATAGGGCTCTTTAATTAAATGCAAACACCAAAGGCCTATCTGGAGAGTACAAAATATGCTACAAGATATATTCACAGAGGTGTTGATAAGAAAAGTTCGTGGTGAAAAATGGCAAAAAGATGTAAACGGGTTGTTCAGATCTCTAACCTAGATCTTTGAGAGCTGGAGCCAATATACGTCAACCTGGTAGATACAAGGAAAATTCCATAGAGGGACTATTTGAAAACAAAACAATAACAATAAAATGTCTTTCTATAGAATGTTTAAATACCACTGAGAGGAAGTCCAATTTTTAAAATAAAATTTTGAGGCATGAAATTATATCTATATCTATATCTATCTATCTATCTATCTATCTATCTATCTATCTATCTATCTATCTATATAAACATCTGCTTCTGTCAAAACTCTTATCTATACATTCAAACCCATTTAAAAACCTTCCTGGTGAATTTGCTTCCTCTTTGCCCAATTACATGTGAACCATTTCCATGTTCAATCCAAGGTCCATGTGCTTCTGTGTCTGTTAAAGTCTCCTGAGACCGGTTCCTTGAAGCTGGTGCTTCCTGACCAGCTTTAATTTTCACTTGCCCTGTAGGAAGAGACCTTCTTTAGGGCATGCCTCCCAGGTGTCCACCATAGGCTGTTTTTCTGAATAGAAATTATTACCTCTTATAAAATATCTCCTGAAAGTTAAATTGCACTTTCAAAATGCTTCCCTGGGAAAACTTAATTGTTAAAAACACTTCTCAGAATAGTTTCTAATTACAATTTTTTCCTATTAAAACTTGATTAGATGAGTGCCTTCTTCCTTTTTTTTTAGTTTGTTGATGCTGTTATTATATAAATAACTGTTGATCTCTGATTCTAAAGGCCTGATGA